ATGATTACTAGTTATTCCAAGTGTACCAGAGCATTTTATTAATTCTAAAGAGTATTAATGAGTCATTGATGTCATTTCACAACAATTGATTACATGATAGCCTAGATCGATAAAGAAGACAAACGTAAACATGGGTCATGGTGGGGAGCTAGTGGCAAATTGGCAATGAGCTCCAAGTCCCCACTACTTCCTATGACTACAACCAAGAGGACATCAACACCTCCGATGATCATCAGGGCGATTCCAAGGTTCGACTGTAGGCTGAGGTGATGCTGGAGGAACAAGAGGAAGATGGTTCAGATCATACAGCAAAGTTGGTGGTAATGGTACGTAGGGAGGGCCCTCGCCCCCTCCCCCTCTAAGGCCTCTCTCTCTCTCTCTCTCTCTCTCTCTCTCTCTCTCTCTGCCAAATGATCAGCTCTATTATAAAAGTTCATCGGAAGTACAGACCATCTCAAACATAATAAAAATTGCATCGAGATTCTAAGCCCACCGAACGACCACTACTCCCTCTATTTAACTTAACCTTTATTGGTAATAAATTATCTCACTATAATGAATAACAAAAGCGTTGGTTACATAAGTGGGTGTAGATGTGGGTGTCAAAACCAAAAAGTGCATTTGGCCACCGGGTTCATAGTAAGTCTTTACTTTTTTTTCTCTAAGACCTTATTTACACTTATTAAAAAATTCTACAAAAGTGTGCACATATGAATACACATATACTACATATGTACAAAGTTTCATAATAATATATTTTCATATGTGGTCTACACAAAAAGCAAATGCATATATCAAAACAGACTTTTTGTTGTTGTTTTTGGGTCATAATTTTGTTTGTTCTGTGCAAACCTACAATTTAACAAATTAGTATCTAATGAAATTTTACGGATATGTAGTGAACATGTATATATTTTCAAAGGAAAATTGGTTTTGTTTTAAAACTTTAATTAGCATTTTTAATGCATTTTTGGTTGTGTTAACGAAGTTTGGCCTCAAAAAAGATTTGGAGGAAGTCCTTTAGCATTGTCTATGTGTATAATACTTTTTCCATATGGTTCATTTATGTCATCTTTTGCACAAAACGAAATTGTGAGGCATTTCTTTCTTCTTGATAACCAAGTGTGCATCATAACATGTTGCACTTTTTTTAAGTGTGCAAGTTGCACCTTAAACTTTACCAACAAAATATGGTGCAACTTGAAATGATCCACCAATAAAATGGCATGAATTTTCAATTTCATTTCAAACTGCCCACAAATGTGATCTCACTGCCTCTTTAATTTGAAGAAAAAAGAAACTTTGAGTCTAGAGGGTGTATCCTTCATATCTTATTTATATTATTATTTTTCCCGACAGGGGGGGTGGGGGGGTGGGTGGGGGTATATTTTCATCTGGGTAATTTTGAGGTCATGTTCCCTTCAACACTACTGGAAACCGATGAAAAATGGACAATGATGAATACCATAATACTGAATATTTGAACTATGAAGCATGTATAGTTTTTGAATTTTCATTTGAACCTAACATTTGATTGTATTGAGTCATTTTCTTAGTTTGCTTTGTGGAAATTTGGTGGTATGTAGCTAAGTAGTTCAGTTGATTAAGTGCTTCATGGATTGACAACCATTGCATTTTCTTTAGTTGTCTGACAGACTGTCTTTCCCTTTGTTAACTGTAAAAATATACCTTTGAATGCCCCTGGATTAATTATTTATAGTTGTTTGTTAACATTTGAAGTTGGAACTTCAATTCCTTTTAGACCTTATACTCATTATATGATACAAAAACAATATGCAAATTTTCTTGAATGATGGGTACACCCATAGGGTTCATGCAAATGCATATGAGAAATCATAGAATATAGGCCTAATTGATAGTATGATAATCTCCAACATAAAAATGTGTGCCCTTTAGTTGCAAGGCCTACAACTATGTTATAGTATCCTTTTCAAACATACTCCCTCCGTTTCTAAATATAAGCCTTTGTATATAGGTGTATTTTAGAGTGTAGATTCACTCATTTTGCTTTGTATGTAGTCCATATTGAAATCTCTAAAAGGGCTTATATTTAGGAATGGAGGGAGTATATGCTATCTAATACACTGGAAAACACGAGATGTTAGGTACACTTCTTCATTATCCTTCAGATTTTGTTGATATACTCCCGATAATATCTATATCGCCTTCTATTTTTCAGTATTTTTAAGTAAATACTTCTGGCATGGGGGTAAGTCCTCTAGGTGAAAGGCCACAAGCTTGGTTCTCCCAAAAAGCCCCTGGCTTCGGGTCCTTCCTTGACATAAAAAGTCGGGCCTTTGAGTTTCTTCCTATTTGCCTAGCAATTCAGTTTTTATTTTAACCTTTTCAGTAAAAAAAGTATTGCGCTTTGACATACTTCTTTTATTATGTGCATTTGATAAGTAATTTTGAGCTTATGTTCTACTATGTTATTTCGTCCAGTATTGACATGCCTTCAAAGGGGGCTGGAATTTGTTAGTTTTGTTTGATGATGTTGCAAAGCAAATGATATGTTACTTGGAGCTTGTTTTTTCCATGGAGTAATGTAATGTGAACCAACACTCTGGCCAAAATTCACACATCAAATGAACTATAGTATCCCGCAGCAATGCATGGGGTATCATCTAGTTAGAAAAGTTTTGTGGTGTACTTTCTGTCATCAAAGATGCACCACACATGGTGACAATAAATGTGTCCTTTATAGTTTGCTTCTACGCATTACTTCCCTTTATGTGAATATAACCTTATTGATATAGTTTTGTTAGTTTAATTTGAAATTCACAGCATACAAAAATGACATAAATATATTGTCGTGACACGGCATGCCACGCCGGGAAGGCTGGTTTCTCCTGAGGATACAACCAAGAGGACTCCGACACCTCTGATGATCATCAAGGTGATCCCAAGGTTCAACCATTGGCTGAGGTTCATTGAGGATGCCAGAGGAAGTGAGGAACGAGAGGAAGATGGTTCGGATCATACAACGGTAATGGCATCGATATGTAGGGAGGGCCCTTGCCCCCCCCCCCCCAATCTAGGGCCTCCCTCTCTCTAACTTAACCTACAGTGGTAATAAATTATTCACTATAATGAGTAACAAAAGCGTTGGTTAAATGAGTGGGCGTAGATGTGTGGGTCAAAACTAAAAGGTGCATTTGGCCACAGGGCTCATGGTAGCTTTGTACTTTTTTCTCTAAAATCTTATTTACGCATATTAAAAAATTCTAAAAAATCCATATATGTATACACATATACTACGTATGTACAAAGTTTCATAATACAGTTAAATACACTCGAGATGCTAAAAGTTTCTTGGCAGTTCACTTTAGTCCTACTTTCAAAATGCATCTTTAGGTCCTAATTTTATAGTAAGTGGTTCACCCGAGGTTCTTTTTTTCTTTGCACGAGCGCTCGCTGGCCTGCTCATGAGGCGCGTTGACCGACACCACGTCAACTTAGGGGCCACCAGCTGACTAGGAACTTTGCAAAAAAAAAACTCCTGATCTATTCCCCTCTCATTAGTGGTCCTTCTCCTCTTTCACCCTAGTCTGGTAACACAGGAGGCAATCGGTGGCGGAGGCGACGACGGATTTCCTCTTTGTGGCGGCGGCGGTAACGGATTTCCTCTTTGTGGCGGCGGCGGTAACAGATTTCCTCTTTGCGGCGGCGACATGGGTCGATCTGGAGGGTAATGCGAGCGACATGCAGAAGAAAAAAACGTTGACTCTAGAGGGTGCATCCT